ATTAATGCATTAGTCATAGTATTTATATCAGTGGTCTTATAAACAATCACTTCTCAAGGTGTCCATGAGCTGGAGACTAAGCTTTCAACATGTGAGGTCTGTGGGTAGCTCTTCCTATTCAGTTTCAATTGTCCCTTAGCTGTCTCAGTTAGCAGACTGTCAACGATGTCACAGTGCTTATATTCAAGTATATTCTACTTAATGAGGGTCTCAAGAACAAAGAGTAGTGATGATATCATTTGATAAATATTGAAGAGAACTTTTTTTATTTTTATTTTTTCTCAAATCGTAATTAATTCACACAGGGGTTATAAACACAGAAAGGCAGGATGTGGGGAAGGGAATGACACTGGAGTGTGGGTGTTCAGGGGGAATACAGATATCTTCAGAACCGGGTATCAGCTAGGTGAAGGTTCAGGGGACAGGTCACTATGACTCTGCCTATGACTCGCTTGTCCTTATCTAAGTTGGTATTGTCTGCCAAGGCTACCTATTTACAAGGTCTATGGCTACTCAGGCTGGTAAATTTCCACAAAAGCTGACTGTTGACATTAGCTTATAGCCATCTGTTTCAGTGTTTTTCCACTGAGACCCAAGACTTGGTGTTAGTATACATGTATGACAGACCTATTGCTGATTTTAGGCCTATGGCTGATTTTAGGCCTACAGTGTGTAAGCAGGGCTGCCCCTGATATCTCCTCCCTGAAGAGAACTTTTAAATGAGAAGGTAAACATTCTCAAATTGTGTTCTGGATGGGATTTGGAGATTCCTCCAAAGGCTCATGTGTTGGTTTTTCCAAAGGCTTATCATTGGTATATTGTGAGGTGTTGGAACATTTAGGAAATAAGGACTATCTAATGGGAGGAAGTTAGGTTATTGGAAGCATGACCTTGAAGTGGTGCTTGGACTCTACATTTTTCTGCCTTTCACTTCATTTTCTAGCCACTATGAGGTGAATATGGCCTCCACCATGCTGCATTGTCCTGTCTTTGGTCCAAGATCAACAGACTGAACTCTGAAACTTTCAATAAGAGTATGATTTCCAGGATGTCACAGTGAGAGAAATATAATTGATAAAGCTGAATAAAGAAAGAAAAAAAATGTGCCGAGGCTGCTAAAGGCTGCAGTAGGAATTAATCTTTCATCTGTAGAACTGAGGAGGAATTCACATTGGATTTGTTGTCATGCCCAAAACTGCATGACTTTGAGCATCACCAAAGCCTCAAAGTGCACCACGGCTTGCAGCCCTCAGGTACAAGGGGGCTTAGTTAGAGGTGGAGAATGAGTTAATTTGTGCTAGAAAAGAAAACATATTTGGACAGATGGCAATGTGTTACAGTAGAAGCTGAGAGAGTTGACTAAGGAAGGCAAAAACATCTGAAGCAAGGCTTCAGTTACAGTGAAACTGCTTCTTCTGGAAGAACACCTCAAATAGAGCCCCCAAGGAAGGGAAATGGAACCATAAAGCATGGGAAGAAACTAATGTAGGAATTATATGGCAGCTGATAGGGCACATGGAAATTCTGGGGATAGAGGACACAGCAAACACATGTGAATTCTAAAACAGAAATCATTATTTTGAAAAAAAAAACAAGACCACTTTTATTAGAGCACACATGGTTACAATTGTCCTTTTATCAGTTACTGCAACTCTTATTCTGCTGTATGTATAATTTTATTATAAATGCATATGTAACGGTAGGAAAACAGCACATACACAAATACATTCAGGCACATATTCATGTACACACACACAGAGGCACATACACATGTGAACACATGTACACACATGCTCACATCCATGTACACAATCATGCACACACATCACACTCTGAGTCAGGATCTGCTCTTCTATACTCTGATGTGCTACTGACCTGCTAGCTCTCGTCTCTGTTCCAGACTCACTAGAGGTCATATGAACATACTAATATCATCACAAATTATTATTTCTATAAAGTTCTAAACAATAGTTTCCTTGAGTGACAGGATTAATAAATGTGACAAATATATGTGTTTTGCTGATGTTAATGTGTCAGCAAATCTCACGAGCCTCTGGAAGCACGCATAGACTCTGGACTGGGTTTCAGTCATCATGCTAGTTTGCACTCATAAACTTATCCCATCCTTAAAGCCACAGGAAACCCCTATTGTGAGTTGCAGGTAGTGAGGTCTGGTGCAGTGCCTTCCCTGTGCATGGCAGTTCTTACGGCAAAGCCAGGAGAACTACCACCACATCTACAGCTATGAGTCTCCATGGCTCTGCTGATGTTACTGTGAGGGTCTACAGGTCTGCGCCCGTCATGATATCCAATGAGTAGTCACTGAGTGGCTTCCAGGACAATATACATCACCCCTGACATTTGTTTATTTACTAATCAGATTCTGATGGATAAATCAAGAGTTATAAAACTACCGTGAGTCTTAAATGCTCACCGCCTCTTCCCTCTTCCTTCTCTTCATTTTTTTCTACAGATATCTTATGGATATTCTATGTCTACATCTGTTACTTTTCTGGTGCTGGGACAAAATAGGGCTTATGTTACACAGGGATGAGAACCCGTTGCTGTCACAGTGGAGAAGCATTGCAGGAAGCACCAAGCATGACAAGAGGGACAGCTGAGAACTAACATCTCCAACCACAACCAGGAAGTGACCTAGGAGCAGCTCTAGACTTTGAATAGTCAAAGCCTACCCCTTGTGATGATGTTCTTCCTTTAGTAAGGCCACACCTACACATACTCTCTCCAAACAATTACAATCCCCTCATTTCTCTATGATCTCACTGATCATCTGGACAAAATGGTACTCTTGGGAGAATATAGCTCATTGCCTTTTTTTGTGCAGGCTGGTCACTCCTAACAGGGCCCACCGGCTGCCCTAACTGCTGACTGCATAGGAAGTGATGGCATAGAAGGTGACACACAGGAAGTGATGGCACAGGAAGTGACACATAGGAAGTGATGGCACAGGAAGTGATGGCACAGGAAGCCTATAGCTGCACCAACCATACTCTGCTTCACAGGCCGTTCCTGTCCAAGCAGCCATACCCTTCTCCTCAGGAGTTTACAACTGCAGCCCTTAGAGACCTTGTAGCAGACTCTAGTATGGAAAGAACAGAAGCTACAAAATTGCACATTTCCATCTCCCACCCAGCTCTCAAGTCCTGCTGTGTGCTTCACAGAACTCTCGTGACCTCAAGAATCCTTCTAGCAGCTTCTCACCAGATCATTCTCACTGGCTCTGAAAAATAAAATCTCAAACGTCGCCTGTCTGTCACAAAAACAAACAAATAAAAGAGCTCCGTAGTTTCTTCGTCTGCCCCTGATCGCCCATCTTCTCTTATATATTTTGGCCAAAATGCATGGGCTAATCATCCCCTTTATCTTGTTCCCTTTAATCATCCCTTTAATTTTGCCTTTGGGTGGCAGAGTCTCTGGGGCCCTGGACAAGACTTTTTTCCACTGTCCTCCCTGTGTGTAATATCCACCTCAGCTGCCACCTCTATGACATTCGCTGTGACTTTCGCTGTGATATGAAGTTCTACTCAGACATTCTTGGCTTTCTCAAAATCAAGTCAAAACTCCACACATTAAAGCCTTACTCTGGATTCCTAGTCCTGCCCTATTTGCCCTTAAGTATCAAACCTGGTCTTTTCCCAGTTTCCTTAAGAGGCACCATGTACTCTTCAGTTGTGTGAGCCTTCTTAATGCCTACCTGTTACCCCAGTGTCCAACCTAATCTGTTTCAGACCCCTTTCTGCACTCACCTTCATCTGTGTCCTGGAAACGTTCCATAGTTTCCCACTGATCAACTTGTACCTCTTCTACCAGCTACCCTGTAACCCACGCATCCTGCTCTAACCCTACCCATGCCTTGCACTGCCTGCAGCATAGCCTCTGGACTCTGTCTTCAGGCTCTCTTCACAGCTGCCAACTCTCCTCACTTCTGGTTTCTGATGCTCTTTTTCACTACTGAGCTTCTCCATACACTGACCTGGTGCTCTAGTCTTCTCCATCACTACAAAAAAGTTCTACTGAGCCTGTGTAGTAGTCTTTACAGCATTTGTCAGAGACATGGTTGATGTTTGTAGTCACAGTCACCTGATTCATCTGTTTGCCTGTATAGAGTGTAAGAGTCAACAACAATGGCAGCTGCTTTCATTTGCTAAGCCGTGGATCTTGATATCCAGCACAGTGATTACTAAGCAGGGTGCTATCCAGAGTGTCTCTTTTGTAAACAGATAACAAATGAATTAATTAGCTCCAGTGTTTGTGTTCTTTGCCACAACACAAACATAGACCTAAGGTTTTTTTTTTTTTTTTCAGTTAAATTCCAGAACATAATGACCTGGCTATTTTTTTTCCCCAGATATTGTCAAATACGACAAAACTCAATTATCTGCCTATCCTCCTTTGATCCATCTGTAGTTTGATGGTCAGATTGATAGTTTGAAAACAATTCTGGGCACAGAGTAACTGTTCTGTAAAACATCTGGTGACTGGCTGGTGGGTAGTAGAGGAAGAAAACCCTTGAACATGTTCGTTCTGTAGTATATGTTTATTGAACTGAAAGGACATCTGAGCAAGTTCTCGTGAGCCCTCAAAAAGAACTAATTCAATTTAGACAACCCTGGGAGGAAGCAAGGCCTTGAATTGTGCTTAGCATATATGTGTTTGGATGTGCTTTAAAAAAAAAAAAAAAGACAATCCCTGATAAGGATGTACCAGGAAAATATCAATACCATCACCTGGCACAAGTTCTCAAGAGGAGGCTCATTGCACTTTGAGGAAAACACTTCTTTGTTTTAAGTATGCATTCACACATGCTATAGCCATGATGATCATGATGAGAATCTAGTGTCACATCTGGCACTTGGGACTATATTATTCCCCATGCTGTCATACATGTAGGTGGTCCCACCCTCTCCTGGCAGACCATTCCTCATGGCCTGACCCCACCATGCTGACTTTTGCAAGATAACCAGGTATAATGCTGGTACCAACCAGCAGGCACTAGTTACATGACCTTGTGAAGGTTACCTATGCTCTGTGTACTGTATTTTCCCTGTGTTAGAAGACTAGTGAAGAGGAAAAGGCTAAGCAAAGGAACGTGACATTTGAAAGAAGATAATGCTGAATTTGGAGAGCTTTGAGAAGCAAACAGATCCATACCTACAGAACCTGGCACAGAGCCTGCCCCAGGATGAGCTTGTCTTTACCTAATTGTCACCCTACTGTCAGGTATTAAACCACATGAGTAGCTTTGGAAAGCAGGCAGGGAAAGCACCACAGAACGCACCACAGAGGGTTCTACTTAGTGAGAGGAAGTTTCAGAAAGCGAAACAGTACACAACAAACCACACCCTAACTATAAGGGAGACCTATATAAAACCTCCATGGTCTTTAGTTGTCAATAAAAACTAGCCAATAAGGATATGAGCTAGCAAAAATGCTTTGAAAAATAGGCAGGTCCAGGAAGGCAGTAAAGGCATAACTTTGACAGTTGTAAGCGACTACCCCAATACTCTTGCTACTTAATATGGAATAAAAAGTATTGAGAGAAGATTGAAAAACAAAACAAAACAGAAACAAGGCCTATTGTATAATATTGGTTGGCCTAGAACTCACACACACACAAAACCTGCGCACTTCTTCCTCTGAAATCCTGGGATTAAGCTGTATACCATCACTCCCAACAGTAGACCAAACATGCGTGAAATTCATCCCACTTCTATCATTCTGAACAAAAACTAACTTCAAATGGGTCAAAGGCCTCAATTTTAAACCCGAAACACAGAAACTTCTAGAAGAAAACACAAGCAGTGCCCTACAAGATACAGATATAGGAAAGGACTTTGTGAATGAGATTCTGTTTGTTATGGAATTAAAGCCAACAGCTAAGGACTGGGATCCCATAAACTATAAAGCATACTTAGCTAAGGAAACAGTAAGTGAAGAGGAAATTCACAGAATGGGAGGAGATATTTGCCAGCTATCCAGCTGACAGAGGATTAATATACAAACTATACAAAGAACTTGCAGACAGTAAAAACAATAACAACAAATAAACCCAATTTTAAAAAATGGGTTATGGATCTGAAGAGAGTTCTCAGAAGCACAAATAACAATGACTGGGAAACAGCTGAAAGAGTGTTCATCATCCTTAGAAATTATGGAAATGAAAATTAAAACGACATTGAGATTTCATCTCACTCCACCCAGAGCAGCTAAGATCAACAAAATGACCAACAACAATGTTTGAGAGGATGTGGTGAGCAGGAACCCTGTTCTCTGTTGGTGGTGAGAGGGACTCTTGCTCTGTTGGTGGTGAGAGGG